TCCGCCAGNTACAAAGCCTAGGTTGTTTGGGAAAAATGGAGATAAGTTATTGCAGTAACTTGGAGGAGATCTTTGAGATGAAAGATACATCCATGGCTTCCCCAACTTTAGGAAATCTAACTTACATAAGCGTAAGTTACTGTAACAAACTGAAAAACCTCTTCAGCCCATCCATTGTCAAAAGCTTGGTGAAGCTCAAAACACTTAAACTATCACATTGCTCATCAATAGAATACATAGTCACAAACAAAGACGGAGAAAAAGGAGCATCAACAGAGAAGATCATGTTTCCTAGTTTGTACAACATGGAACTTGAAGATATGGAAAGCCTCACTTGTTTCTACGGTGGAGTCATTGCTGTTGAATTCTCAGCTTTAAAGAGATTAATGATTTGTCAATGTCCGAAAATGAAGACCTTTGGTTACGGAAACCAAGTGACACCCAAGCTCAACAAAATGTATTTGAGGAATGTTAGATGCAGAATCTTAGCACCAATGGACCGGTATGTGAACTAATGCTTAAAAGTTAGCATCTCTTTTAGTTTGTTAATTGCTTACAAAAATCATTCACTTTCTCTTTCTTACACTGCCTGGTTCATAAAATATTATGTTCTTTTCTAATTTTTTAAATTATGATTTTCTTAAAAGGTAACACTATTAAAAAATGGTGAAACCATTTTATTTCATTAATAGCTTGTGATAACGTATGATATGAATGAAATGCCACATTATTCACAACTTCTCTGCTCTGTCTCTGGTTGGTTTTATTTTCCCCGTCTCTGTTTTCTTTAATTTAATTCCCTTGCTTATTCCTTTGTTTCTCAAACTAAGAATTTTGGTGAATGTGTATATATGTTGAATACTGGTTGCTTAAGAAATTGCAGTTAGGTAATTGAATTTATAGCATTATAATAAACTTTTTGTCTTTAGTTACATATTTATGTTATCTTGAATTTGAACTTTTGTAACTGAGAACCAATATCATCCTTAATTATATTTATGATATCTATTTGAATGCTAAAACCAATATTATCTTTTGTAGAGCTGCTGAAGCTATTTATAAATTCAAGTACGTGATCCTTGGCGGTGGCGTCTCTGCTGGATATGCAGCAAGGGAGTTTGTTAAGCAAGGTGTTAAGCGAGGAGAGCTTGCAATTATCTCAAAAGAAGCAGTGCCTCCATATGAACGCTCCACACTTAGCAAGGAATATCTTCTACCTGAGAAACCAGCTAGACTTCCAGATTTCTATTTGTGTGTTGGAAGTGGAGGAGAGAGACTGCTTCTGGACTGGTACACAGAGAAAGGAACAGAATTGATCCTTAGCACAGAAATTATTCAAGTGGATCTTGCTTCCAAGGCTCTTGTTAGTGCATCTGGCCAAGTTTTCAGGTATCAAACATTGATAATTGCAACTGGTTCCACACCGGTAAGGTTGACAGATTTTGATGTACAAGGAACTGATGCGAAAAATATCTTCTACTTGAGAGAAATTGATGATGCTGATAAGCTGGTTGAAGCGATTGAGGAGAAGAAGAATGGGAAGGCTGTGATAATTGGAGGAGGATATACAGCTCTTGAAGTTAGTGCAGCTTTGAGAATCAACAATTTGGATGTTACTATGGTTTATCCTGAGCAATGGTGCATGCCTCAACTCTTCACTGCCGGTATTGCTGCTTTCTATGAGGGTTATTATGCTTATAAAGGGATCAGAATTGTTAAGGGAACAGATCTTGTTGGATTTACAGCTGACTCTAATGGCGGTATCAAAGAAGTAAAACTAAAGGATGGCAGAGTGCTGGAAGCCGACATTGTTTTTGTTGATGTAGAAACTAGACCTCTCACATCATTATTCAGGGGACAGGTTGAAGAGGAGAAGGGTGGAATAAAGACTGATTCATTTTTTAGGACAAGCGTTCCTGATGTGTATGCTGTGGGAGATGTTGCTACTTTTCCTGTGAAATTGTGCAATGAGATGAGAAGAGTTGAGTGTGTTGACCATGCCTACAAATCAGCTGAACATGTTGTGAAGGTCATCAAGGCAAATGAGAAAGGCAAAACGATTGATGAGTATGACTACATCTCACACTTCTATTCTCGAGTCTTCGATCTCTCATGGCATTTTTATGGCGAAACTGTTGGTGAGGCGGTGCTATTTAGAAACTGGAATCCAGCATGTTCACTGTGTAAGTTCGGAACATATTGGATAAAAGAGGGGAAGATTGTTGGAGCTTTCCTTGAGAGTGGGACCCTTGAAGAAAATAAGACGATTGCCGAAGCTGCTAGGCTTCAGCCTACTGTTGATAATTTAGATGTCGTAATAAAGGAGTTGGGTCTTTCCTCGAAAGCAATATACCGGTGAGAAACGTTATATATGGATCAGTAATAATCTAAAAGATCTAATGTTATATGAACTATTCTTTGCAACTAAGTTTTTATCTATATCACTTGAAACATAAAGGTCAATGTACAAACATAGGAAAGATAGTATTATTGAAATTCAATATACATACAAAAAGAAATCTGTTGTCTCTATTCAAAAGCTATTTATTCATTTCAGTGATACAAAAAATGAGGTAAAGTCTTTGTTTTTGATGCCTCTATCCTGATGATTCATTTCTTTGTAATCAATCCTTGGATGAATTTTCTCTCTGATTGTAACTGTGTTATTTTTCAAACTAGTGTTAGTTTCGGATTAATTTATCTCTGATTTAAAGATAATTAACAAATATTTTTTTTCTTTCATTTAACTTATGTCCGGATATATCTCCAATCAAGCATGTGGTGAATTTCCATGGGTTTAGATGTAGGTTGCATTAGTTGCATTTTGATATTATATCTTTTGCTCTCTATTATGAACTTTATGTTGTATACTACTTAGCTGAATCCTGAAATTGATGATTTATGATTGAGACATCGAGTAGATGATCCTTGATGGTGGCATTGCTACTGGATGTACAGCTACGGAGTTATTATTTTAGACATGCATATGGAATTTTTGAAACAATATCAATTTAGGAAATGAAAAATAAAAAAAGGAGATATTATTTTCTGTTCTAAATTTTGAAATTGCAACTTTTACTGTTTCTTGTAAAAAATTTCAAAAACTGATGAAAACATTTTATTTTATTAATAGCTTGTGTAAATATGAAATATTTTAGTAAAGCTGATAATGAAACATCATTATTTATGTTCTCTATATTTTAAATCTTTTAGTCATATATGTAATTTTTTTTTTCTGTTTTTTTAAACAAAATTTGCAAATTTGCAAATGTTTGCTATTTTTCTAGATTAAAATATAGAATGAAAACCAAGAAAAAAAGAATATGTTAATTATTAGTGTTCCTTTCTCTCACTCAATCTCACAGATGAAGTAAAACCTCTCTTTTTGATAATAAACTTATCCGCTGTCTCTGGATGATTCAAAGTCTTATTTTTGTGTATCGTTTCTTTTCTTAATGTTAAAAGTTTCCTTTTATTTAATTAATTCCCCTGCTTATTCCTTTGTTTCTGGAATTGACCACTTCTGTCAATGAATAAATATGTTAAATAGTGGTGTCTTTAGAACTTTATCATATATACTCCTGAATAGTTATATACTTATGTTATCATGAACTTGAACTTTTGTGATTAAGAAATATCATTTATTTGAATGCTAATCGGATATCATCTTTCGTAGAGTTGCCAGCGCTGATGATGAATACTTTAAGTATGTGATCCTTGGTGGTGGTGTGGCTGCTGGATATGCAGCTAGGGAATTTGGTAAGCAAGGTATTAAGCGAGGAGAGCTAGCAATTATCTCAAAAGAAGACGTGGCTCCATATGAACGTCCCACACTTAGCAAGGAATATCTTCTCCCTGAGACACCTGCTAGACTTCCAAATTTCCACGTGTGTGTTGGAAGTGGAGGAGAAAGACAACTTCCTGAGTGGTACGCAGACAAAGGAATAAAATTGATCCTTAGCACAGAAATTGTTCGATTAGATCTTTGTTCCAAGGCTCTTGTTAGTGCATCTGGTGAAGTCTTCAGGTATCAAACATTGATAATTGCAACTGGTTGCCTACCGGACAGGTTGACAGAATCAGGTGTGCAAGGAGCTGATGCGAAAAATATCTTCTACTTGAGTGAAATTTATGATGCTATTAAGTTGGTTGAAGCAATTCAGGCAAAGAAAAACGGGAAGGCTGTGATAATTGCAGATACATGTTGTGGTCTTGAGATTAGTGAAGCTTTGCTAATCAACAGTTTGGATGTTAGCATGGTTTTTCCTAAAGATTGGTTTTTCAATACTGAAATTGCTGCTTCCTATCATTCTTATTATAAATCAAAAGGAATCAAATTATTTGAAAGCACTTATGAAGTTGGGTTTACGGCTAACTCTAGTGGAGAGGTCAAGGAAGTGACTTATGAAGTTGGGTTTACGGCTAACTATAGTGGAGAGGTCAAGGAAGTGAAACTAAATGATGGCACTGTGCTGGAAGCTGACATTGTGATTGTTGATATAGGAATTACATGTATTACATCATTACTTGAGGGTCAGTTTGAAGAGGAGTTGGGAGGAATAAAGACTGATGCATTTTTCAGGACAAGTGTTCCTGATGTTTATGCTGTGGGAGATGTGACTACTTTCCCTTCGAAATCGTATAATGGGAATACTATCAGGGTTATACAAGTTGACCATGCCCGCAAATCAGCTGAGCATGCTGTGAAGGCCATCAAGGCAAGTGAGAACGACAAAACAATTGATGAATATGACTACCTCCCTCACTTGTTTTCTCGTTCCTTTGATCTTTCATGGCATTTCTATGGTTTGGTTACTGGCAACTCTGTGATGTTTGGAGAAGTGGATCATGTATCACCCCTACATAAGTTTGGAGCATACTGGATCGAAGATGGGAACATTATGGGAACTTTCCTTGAGAATGGGAATCCTGAAGAAAACAAGGCCATGGCCAAAGTTGCTAGGGACCAGCCTCGAGTTTATAATTTGAATGTACTGAAGGAGCAGGGTCTTTCCTTTGCCTCAAACTTTTGAGAATTCAAAACGGTAATATTTATATTTATTTTGCTTGTCAATCCTGGTTAAGCTAGGTTGCATTGAGTCTCTATTTGCTTTTAAATTTTTGTTGTTTTTAAGTTTCCTTTGGGTTAATGTTAGGCCACCAATTATTAAGAATTATCACAGGCAAGGCAGAGGGACGTTGGGTGTGAATAAAGGGAAGGGGAGTTAGTTAAGTGGATTGTATACGTGTCCTTAGTTGATTGGGCTTGAGTGAGAATCAATGGGAATATAAGGGAAGAGTCTTAAGATGTGAGAGTGGTCAATTTGTTAAGAGAGTAATACTGGGAGGTCTCTAGCTCCTCGAAGTGCTAGAATTCTGTTCTGCATTTATCAGTTGTTTTTTCTGCATTTCCGTTTATGTACTTCTCTGATAATTCAGTTTATGTATTTCTCCGATTATCAATATAATTCTGAAATATTTCATGTCTGTGGAATTGTTTGAATTACTGTTTGTTTGCGTATGTTGATTGCCAAACAGTGAGTTGAGAGGGGTTTGTATCAGTTAATAATCATATGATTATTATTATTCCATAGCTTATGGGCAATTGCATGATTTAGAATTGACATTTCACGTCCGTGTTGTTTACAGATATGAAGATGCATAGATAATTTTGTGGAAAGTTTTTTTTGGCTGTAGATTTCATTTGGGTCCAATAATCATCTTGCAGATTTTCAGTTCACTTGCTTCCATAACCTGTAAGGATGCAGCAAATTCGGCTACCAAAGATCATGAATAAACAACAAAAGAGGTTTGTTATTTTTTTTCTAATATATTTCTTTTTAGTGCGGTTTCCGTCAATGCTTTGTACAACATTTAAGAAATTCCATTACAAGATAATAATTAATAAGTATTCTAGCAACTATAAGAAATAGCTTTGTTTGTGTCATCCTACTGTGACAGCATTAAAAAGCAACTTCAAATAGTGTAAACTTGCAGACTTGACCTTAAAATGAAATAAAGTTCAATTCATTTGTATTTGTACATACTGTCATAGCATTAGAGTTAGTGCAATGTGCATCGATCTTCTGTATTTAGATTTATTAAAATTCATTTACTGTTAAAATTGTCGTTTCAGATCCACTGTATTTGTTTTCTTAAAATTGAATTAATATAGAACTCTTATTTTGTTAGTTGATTTAGTGTTGCAAAGAAGAGAAGCAGAAAACTGCAAGAGCCAAGGGAAAGAAGACATTTCATGATAGCTGGTGGAGCTTCTGATTGAATGTCACCACCGTCAAGGAATGGTGGAAAGCACTCAATAAGGTTATCCTTACCATTGTCGTTGGACGTCGTGCCTTCGAAACTGATGCAGTCGGCAGTTATAGCTGGGTGGATGAGTAGTCATTGTGTTATTTTGTGGTGGGTGTCTCCATACCCATTAAGATTATTTGCTTTTGCTTTTCATGACTGGTCTTTATGAATTCCTTAAAACTCTGTTTGATCAGCAAATTTGATTTCATGTTTTTCTTAATTAATGCCAGATTGCCTCAAATCCTTTCTGAAACTTATAATTGTTTTTATTTTTATTTTTATTTTTAATGTATCATTGTTTTCTTAATTTGTAATTGAACAACATTCGCACTGTTGGAGTAGAATTCCTCCATTTTATCCATCCTTTTTTAGCATAGAAATCTAACTGTTTCTTATTTTATCTCTTTTCACTCTCTCTCTCTCTCATACAAATGTTGTGAAGATGTATTCCTTTACAATTTTCCTAAACCATATTAAATGTACAATATTAATTGAACTTAAATGTGCAAAATCCCACCTAAAAAAAAAAAAAAAAAATGAATTGGTTGTAGACTTGTAGATGTTTTAATTTTATTGGTCTCTCCACTTTTAGAGAAATCAGTTCATATAGAAAAATTTGTATAAGGAGTTTGTACGTTTAATATTTTTCTTATAGATCGAATTTAATCAAAACCGTCAAACGTGGTGGAAATTTTAAACATATACCAATATATATATACTTTGCATCATTCCATGTGACCAATATAGTGTATACTTCTACAACTTATCATGCTTACATATATAGTAGTAATACATCTACAAACCATTTTTTTTTTTTTTTTTTTTTTTTGGTGGAAACCTTGGCGAGATGATGAAAATTTATTAACGAAGATCCATATTCATAACCCCTAGATGCATAATAACCATAAATATTTATTATCCCAGATGCATAAAATTTATAGAAGTAGACTAGCAGTATATCCTGATTCCTAGAATATCACTGAATAACTAAACTCTATCTGCTAAATCTATGATAATTAAAATAAAAACTCAAATATCAAGAATTTCAGGAATTTCCTGAACCAGCTATGGAGTTTCATTCTGTCGAAAGTCTCTGAAACTCCAATCCCAATTTCTTATGATCATCTTCGTCTAGAGCAAATCGTACCCTGAAATCGCGCCGTGTGGGGATATTATTGTGCTTCTTCAAACATGATTTTAGCTTAGCGATCGGCTGGGAAGAGTTGAGCTCTAGTGTTGAATCATATTTTGGCAACAAATCATGAACTTTGTCATTTCTGCTGTTATACTTTACTTGAAAGAAAGACTTTTCCTCCAGAAATAAATGAACCTGACGATTTTCTTTCTTTTGCTGATGATTTTTGTTTTGTTTCTTCGGAGAATCATCCTCACTATCTTGCTTTGTTTTTAAATCAAAAACAGACTCGAATGTTAGTGATTGTTTTTTATAGAATTTATTCATGTATTTCTCATCAGGACCGACAAGAAAATTTGATCCTGAAAAGTCTTCACTCCAATCTTCATAGCTGGTGTTCACTTTGTTTTCTGATGCAACCGGGTTTCCCTTCTTCAAAAGCCGATGCAAATTAGTTATCTCGCCGGAAATATCACTTGAGTCTTGCTCCGTATACATCCGATCATGGCCTTGTTGGCGAGCATTCTTCTCATCATTCCAGGATTCCATCCGAGAAGTAACCTTCAGACGAGGGGACGAATCTCCTGGAAAAGCCTTGTTTTGAGACCCTCCTTTCACTTGTATCAACCGGCGAAGTGTGTGATTCGGAACAACGTAAAAGACTCTTCCAGGTTTCAAAACTGACTCAGGCTTAACCACAACCCAGGGAAACTTGAACACATCCGGCCGGGTAACACAGTGTCGAGGGTTTCGTTTCATGACCTCTGCAGCCGTTATCGGTTTCTCGTGAAGTTCGACGAAGCCTCCTGGATACACCAGTTTCAGGACACCATTCTCCCTGGAAACAGAACCCCTTTCCATAATTACTGCAGGAAATTTTCGGAAGCAAAAGAAACCAGGACAAAAGCAGCCCTGGTTTCCAAATTTATGCAAAACCCTTCGGCTAGGGGACAAATTTTCCAAGCGATGAAATTTATGTAAAGAATTTTAGGAAAATGGGAGATTATTCTTTGATCGTGGCTTAAATTGGAGGTGTTATTGAAAAAGTTAAAAAGGAATACTATGTAGATTATCTATCTTGATTGTGATAAAGGATTCTTCATTGTTAATATCTATAGATTTGTTTTGTCTCTTTTTTTACAAAAATCAGATATTTTGTGTTTTTCTTGCTTTCTAAATTGATGTTTTTTGTCTTTTGTTTCATTTTCTTTCTAAATTGGATTCAGAATTTGATATTTAGGAAGGTATATCATGACAGCTGGTGTAAAATTTTATTTTATTTAAGAGTGATGCTATGGGTACTAACGGATGGGTACTAATCTGTGTACTAACTGAAGTATAGTACGGGTACCATACGCATAGTACGGATCCTATGTGTTATTTTAACAAAGGTTAGTACACTAGTTAGTAAAATCCGTTAGTACGCAAAGTATTATTCTTTATTTAAATATATATTTATTTAATACATTCTTATAAGCAGTAAGAGCTTCTTATTTATCTAAAAGTATGGATTTTTAAAAATACTGAATTTATAAATCTTTGTTTACTCAAAAAAAGGCTCACTCAAAATGCTATTATACAACCAAAATTAAAAATAACATTATAACAAAGATAGTGATTAATTTCTACAAAATAAAATTAACAGAATTATATTCAATAAAGGGTTCATTTTATTCGCCCTTGAGAAAGTATTAAATCTAAAGAGACCCTACAATTTTCAAAAACTACTAAATACCCCTTAAAATTATCAAAAACCCTTATACATATATAACCATTGGATCTAGGTTAAAAAATATCATTTTAGTCTAATGTAATAAATCCAATAGTGAATATGTATGGTCCTGATTGAATTTATATCAAAACATCCTACTCATATATATATATATATAGACACACGATGTTGAATCAGTACCACAAATTAGAATTTTGAGGGTGCCATCAATTCAAAATTGTATAAAATTGGTGAAGAAAACAGAGGAATGCTTATGCTAATTGATCTTGTGCTTCTGCTTGCTACAATTCCAAGAAAAACTCTTAAGCATTTGTTTACTTCATTTACTCGATAAAACTGATGTTAACAACCAATAAAACGCGACTATGTAACAAAGAAACTATGTTAAACACACATCATGTTAAACATATAATGAAAAATATAGACATGTATCAATTTATCTGAAACAAATATATTTTTTCTCTAAAGAGTCGTAAAATAAAATAAAATTCTAGTACAAATCAAATTATTTAGTTGTTGTAACTTGCATTTTTCTTTTATATTTATTATTATTGGAGGGTTGGAAGATTAAAGACGATGGAGGTTAGGTCATTGAATTGCAGGTGGTTAATTATGGTGTTTTTAATTGAATTAAATGATCAATTATGAAGATGAAAAGTTGGAGTATGTGAAGAGTTGTGAACAGTTGTATGTAAAAGGTCTCTTATATTTATTCGTCACACACATTTGTTCTATCTTCATCCATTCTATTGAGTGAAAATACCAGCTAGAGAAAGGTGTTCCTTTAAGAGGAGCTTGGGTTGAGCAATTTGTGTAGAGTTGCTGTCAACCAAACAACAAGACCATTGGGCTATTGTATCCAAGAGGGGACGGGTCAAAGTGTTTCTTTACTACACCAAGGGTCTGCTTGGGAGTTTTATGGTAGCGGTTATGAGGGTAAACCATCGTATCGGTTTTGAAAGTAAACTACCGTAACAGTTTTGAGGGGTTTTTAATAGTGGTTTTTAAAATATCCAACCTGTGCTTGGGAGTTTATTGTCCAGCGGTTCTGATAGTTTTTTAAAATGATAAATTTACATATATGCCCATAAAAATACCCCAACTTCAACCAGTATTTGAGAGTTTTTTTTTTCAATTACCAATATTTAGTATCAAAGTTCCTTCGAAGTTTAATTTATTTGTTAGTTCTTTCATTGTATATTATTTAATTCATCACACAATCATTTGAAATCTGTCATTTTAAGAGAATAAATATGCTGCCACAATGTTGGACTTCGCAAATTATCAATATAACAGCCGCAACAGCATTTCTAAAAAACAATTTTTTGTTCTTTTCTTCGATCAGTGAAGCAAAGCCATCAAAAACAATCTTTATTTAACAAACTAACAAGGATTCAATTAATCACCTAAACGCAAATAGAAAGAACCAAATAGAGGAAAAACCACCTAATTTTGTAAAACAACTGGTAAAAAAATGCAATTAAATTGTATACAGCCTACAGAGGAGTTTACCAGATTAAAAGAACAAAAGTTGAAGGGGAAAATGAAGAAGAAAGAAAGAAAAACCTTCATATCTCTAACAAAGGATTAGAAAGCCTAAGATAAAAGATTCAAAAGCATTGTAAGAGTCATCTAAAAGTTGAAGATTAAATTGGGTTTGAAGAAAGTTTTAAACCAGCAGAGAGATTATTGTATATGAATAATAGTGGAAAGGGGTTTTTTTGGGATAAAATTTTTAAACTAGCCAAAACACTCTGATTTGGGGTGTTTTATAAACCCCTCAAAAATACACTACACTGGTTTTAGGGGGTTTTAAACTAGTCAAAACCAGTCCATAAAAAATCTGGCAAGTAATGGTTTTCAAACACCTCAAAACCAGTCTAATTAAAAACCCCCCAAAACCAGTGAAAAAAAAAAAACTCCCAAGCAGACCCCAAGTGTTTAAGCTTTGCTAACCATAGAGGGCTCGAATCTCCTTAAAGAAAGCGAGATATCAATGTCTCAGCCTTTTAGTTTTCGTGCAATCTTCATTATTCATTATTGTATCTCTTTATAATAAAATTATTATTTTATTTCATTTTCACCAACATTGGCTAAACTAGTTAGTATCCCAAATTTTTTATTAACATAAATAATTACAAAGACAAGTCAACAACTTATTCTTAGTAATCTCTTTGCGTTACCATTCCATGTTCTGTTTTCCCCTTAACTTTTCATTGCAATTTTCTGAAAATGAACCAAACAAATGATGTTGTGAATATAAAAGGATCTAAATAAAATGATCATGCATCAATCACTGAAGAAAGATAAATAATATGATATTGATATGACAATTTTTTTATCCGAAATCAAATTTACCTCACTGTAAATGCAAACTTGGAATATATAAAATTACACTGGTGAGTATATATATTTTGTATAGTATTATAGAATGTTATACTATCAATACTATATAATACAATGTCGGGCACCAAACATACCCTTAATCGGTTAATAATTACTCCACAATTTTCGAAACAAAAGCTAAATACAAAATGTTAGAACATGAAAATGAAAAATACACAATGCTTTGATATTTTACTCATTGCATCCTCTACACTAAAGCTATAGGTTGTATGTGAATAAATAATGAGAGGCTTAACCCTTGTTTATATAGTGAGCCCTATTTTGAAACGTATATGAGCTAATGGGTTAGAGTCCAATTTAACTTAACTTGTAGAAAGGACCAAATCGTGAAGTGGCCCTCTAAAAGTTCTTACTCTAAAGAGTTGTTGCCTTTTCCCGCCGTAAAGCTTATTTCCAACTAACTTTACCTCCCTTAGCTGCCCTAAAGCCATGCTCTGGCCATTTTACGATAGTCTTGCCATTATGAGTCCAATATGGGTATATTTTGGAACTAAATACTTAAATACAAAGGTCATATAAAGTCAATAGTAAATCATCAAGTAAATGATTGCTGAAAATTCTCAACCAAAAATGTTTTGCGTAAGGTCTATTTCTTCAGTTATGTTCAAAAACCAAAGAATTGTATCATATCTCAAATTAAATAGGCCCTAGAGCTCTACCAGCAAGACTGAGGGAATTGCTATACCCAAATGCGCCTATGATATGTGTCTCTTATACTAATTGTCCATCTGCCTGCCACCTTACCAAACCGAAATTTCCCACCTGTTTGTGATAGTGATGATACCTAATGATCGATGTTGGTATATATATTGAGGGTATTTCTTGGAAAATTTTAATTATTCAAAATTCAAGAGAATTGCAGAAAAAATGGAGTCTGAACATTAGTCTGAAGTCATGGGTGAGGAGGATGTTATTAGGTCTATAATCTCTATGAATAATGCAACACACTCTGCAATCTTCATGAAGATATCTCAAACCTCTAGCTGCTTCCTTTGCAACCTTCATCTTGTTATTCCACGACACCAACTCATCACTCTTCCTCCCTGCAAATTCTAATCAATGAAGGTGCCTTTCTCAAAAAAAAAAATAATAATAATAATAATAATTGAGCTGACTTGTTCATAAATTCTTGTTGCTACTAATCGGAAGAGACGTAGTATGACATGAACAGTCACTATATAGGCTGAAAAATTGAAAGTGACTATATCTTATGTTCAAAGCTAAAGAGTTGTATCAGAATCACAACTTGAATAGGCCTTAGATCTAGATCAACAAGACTAGGGAATTTTCATAACCCAATTACATGAGCGTATCACGCATGTCTCGTCTGCTAACTGTCCCTTACCTTGCTACCAACTGTATGAAATTGATGATACAAAATTGTCAGAATTAAGAGGGCAAGAGAGACAATTGAAGTCAGTGGAGTATGACCAAGAGATATCTTTGAGCGGGCAAGAAAGATGACTGAAATGGTCGGAGTATGTCCAAGAGATATCTAAGAGAAATTCGATTTAATTGTATTAAGTTGTTCAATTTGAATAGTGAATACACATCCTATTTATACAAAAATATGATAAGCTATGTAAGGTTATAAAATATTATAAATAATAATACAATCTCCATAATAAAGTAAAGAAAATCATATTTTAGCATAATTAGAAATAAAAATAATTCACATATTGTCATTCCATGTCCAGATGATATATAAATTAATGTCACATATTTTCTTTCCATATTCGCACGTCAACAATAATAATTAAATTTTCAATAAGAAACTCAAATAATCTGATATTATAGCAAAAATTATATAGTTAGTATATACATACAGGCTATTTCTTGGAAAATTTTAATGAATCAAAATTCAACAGACAATATAAATTGGAAATGATATCTCAAACCTCTTCAGCTTGTCTGCTTTTCTGAAAAATGCATTTGATCTCTTCTATCTGTGTTTCCCCTGAATTTCCATTACAATTTTTTGATATAAATCTAAACAAACTATGTTGTGATTGTAGTAAGGATCCTAATAAAAGGATCATGCATCAAACCACTGAAGAAAGAAAAAATTTTATAGTACAAAACAAATACTTACAACACTCAAAACTCTTTAAACATCCCAAGCTCTTGCACAGCTAAGAAATGAAGAAATTGAACACAACTCCCCTTTTGCGCTTTGCTCGTTAATAATTTCTCGATGTCAGCAGCCTTATTCTACAAAGCATAAACAAACTCCAATTATGAAATTACTAGAAAGTAAATTAAGTACCACATTATATTAATGTTTAACTGAAAATTAACTTTTTTTGGTTAGTTTCATTTACCAGTATTAATATTAATGGTTAGATTCATATCTGGGGGTAAGCAAAATTTCCGAATGGACCCGCAACTGATAGGTACTTAGTGCTCCGATTCCAATTCCTACCCAGAATTGACATTGTGCAGGTCGGTTCTGGTATCGGTTCCACCAATTCAAGAAACTAGAACCGATGCGAGAATCTAAACTAAAACCGAGATTCGGGTATCCGGGTTGGAATTGGTTTAAGAACCAGGTGAGTGGCAACTTCTAATTTGTTAGAGATGGGTTGGGGTTTGAATTTACGATTTCTAATTTTCTGGTTTCTATTTTGTAAGAAACCTTCCATTCTTCTTCTTCTTCTTTGTCTTACTCACTGCTTAGTTCTCTTCTCAAATCTGACGTTCGTGACACAATTGTTCTCTCTATTCGACAATTTCCAACTTTAGCGTGCCATTTCTCTCTCGATTCGATGATTTCTTTTGGTTCCGGCTTCAGCATGTCGTTTCTCTCTTGATTTGACAATTTTCTGCATGAGGACGGCTTGCTCTAGAGTTGGGGATGGGCATCCCTCTTCATAGGAACGGCCATCCCTTGCTTCTGCTGCATGATGCTCAACATGAACAATAATGGATAAGTAAACAATTTTTGCCTTCTTTCCTCCTCTTGCAACAAAACATAAACTATGTATTATGATACCTAATCATCTTCAAAGATTAAAACACAATTTCAAGTTTTGAATGGCCATTCAGATTTACATAAGTCTAAAAAGATATTTTCTTTAATTTAGTGATAATTATGCATTAATAGTTAAACCATCAAATAAAAGAATAGAATAATGACAAGACATTCATGTTAATTTAATTGTGATTCAAATAAAATAATAAGCACAAATAATTAATTTTTTTTAATAAACAAAAATAGACATGTACCTAATAGTTTCCTATCTTTTTATTATTATAAGTTCTTTTTTATTTTTTATTATGAGACAATATAGAAGTGTTGTTTTTAAGAATTCAACCTAATACTAAAAAGAACTTTGCTTTTTTACTCTCTTTTTGACTCTTTTACCCTCTATTCAATATGTATTTAAAATACAGATGAAATGAAAATGAAATTGATTCTTTATTTATAATCTTCCTATAAACAAGAAGCACAAATGTGCTGTGCCTGTATTGATTATTTCCATTTATCACTAATCACATCTTTAAACACATCAAACTAAATTAAGAACTGTGTTGGTTAGATCTATTCCTAATTACCAAAAAAAAAAAAAAAAAATTCTCCATCTTCATGTATAACAAACAAAATCCTTGGTATTTCTCGGTATTTTGATCAAACGATGTTACCGCGTTCGAGCTTTTATCACTGAAATCAGAGCTCATATGACACTCAGCTATTATTCTACTACTGGAAATTCTGGTGTCATACTACTCTTAATCGCCTTTAAAGGAGATTATTCTTGAATGCAAGAATCATTTTTGGTGACAACAGCAAAACGAATGCTAAGATAGAACCGAAGAACATTTTGATATCATTTCTCATTAAGTCATTGTCGTCTTCATCGGAGATCTTCCTTGAGGAAGATATGGCGGTTGCTGCAGGTAAACCTTCTAGTACTACATCTGCCAGATCCGTGATGAAGGAAGAAGTGCAATTCAGGGCAGGTACACGTCCCCAGTTTTAACTCTGTCAACCTCTTCAAGCGTTTCTATGTGTTTCACTTACAAAGCATTCTCAAGATAACTGACCGATACCCCATGGGCACCGGAGAATATCATTACCTGTAGTTCCACATACAGAAATCAAAGACAAGTTGTAGAGAGCTTCAAAGAAAATAATATAATAAATGATATATTTGAAGATATAAACCATACTTTTTATTTTATTTTATTTTGACGTGAAGATTCTGTTAGATTACATTTTCTGCTCCTTTATGAATCTTTTCTCATGTAAAAGATGACTCTCCAAAGTTTTCACAATGGAAAAGGAGAATTGTGTTTGATACATTACAGATTTTAATAACCTATATATTTGTACCATATAATATATAACATTATTTAATATGTTACCAACAAATTAACATCCCGATTCTATCAAAATAATGACACAAAATTTAAAAAGAATGTTTTAGTTAAATCTGGGTGAGAATGAACTATTAAAGCATGATTCATACCCTTAAACCTCTCCATGAACTCTTGCCATCTTGCCTGGAAAACTTATCAGATTTTTAGAGATGAGTTAATCGCGCTTCAATCTGCAAAATTAATCAGATTAATCAATGTACTATAAGTATTTATAGTACCGTAAAAAATGCTTAAAAATGTGCTTCTGTTACATACCTGTTCTTGGGGTTTTGAACATTCCATGCTCTTTTATCCTCCAAATGTTCCATTACAAAATTCTTATATGAATCAATTAGAAAAATATTTTACATCCAAAGATTGTTCAAATAGTTGAAATATTTACAACACACTCAAACTCTTTATTTACTTGGTGATACATGTACAGTTGTATTGAATTTTAGAATCGGCCACTCGGAAACTAGAAGTAAAAATCAAGTCTCAGCTGATGCATTTTCAGGTTATCCTCCAGGTCCAGGTCACTCAGCGTTTCTAGCTTCTTAAACTTTTTAATTTCTGGGGGAAAAAATAAAGAATCCAGCTTAATATTTTCCATCATCAAACTTATAACTGTCAAGCAGTTACACCTAATCATCCATTTCTATTTCCAACAATATTCATGGATTTTATTAGAACTGCAAATTACAATGAATTGTACGATATAAGAGCCTGAATTTTTATTTTTATTTCATTTTTTTATTTATTATTAATTTAATTATTTTATAAATTATGTTACATATGTACAGTGAGAAGCTAAAATTTAAGATGACAAGTAAAGCATATTTGAAAATAGTTTTCAAATGTTCTAATAGCATTTTGACAAGAAATTAAACAAGTCCTAGAATTTATATACAAAATAATTAAGATTTACCTGACAAATAGCTGCTGGTTTATTTGAAGAATTGCTGCACTGTATGAACTTGGTGAATAAAACAGAGGAAAGCCAAGGAATGATCTTGTGCTTCTGCTTCCTACCATTCCAAAAAACCTCATATTATGATCACCAACTATATCTGCTTCCAATATGGAGGTACTCAGTGAAAATAAAAGGGGAAAATTATGAATAATAATATTTTAAATAATTGAAACAATTAAATGTATTGAGAGCTAATTAGGAAATAACCTTAGACATTGTAAGTATTTGTTCTGGGATAGCCGGATAGGAGATATGCATAAGCTGCCTGCATACATCAAGCATTCAGCTTCCTTCTGAGTGTAATAAAATCGATCCAATCTGGGGTCGATTCCATTCATCATTTTCTTTTCTAGTAATGGTCGCCCCTGCACCATCCATATTCAAATAAATTAAATAGGCCTTAGTCTGAGGGGATTTTGGTACCTAATTTCGCCTATAACTGTGTCGAGCTCCTATGCTAACTGACTGTCGGTCTGCCACCTTGCAGACTGAAATTCCCCACCTGTTTATGATATTGATGAGACATAAATAATAAATTTGCAATGAGAATCTTAAATAATCCAATATTACACCAAAAAGTATAAAGTTGATATATATACCTTTTAAGAAAATCCCATTTCCTCTTCAGCTTGTCTGCTTTTTCTGAACACTGCATTTGATCTCTTTGTTCTACCATTCCATGCTCTGTTTTACCAGAATCTTTCTTTACAATTTCTTACATGAATCTAAACAAAATATATATATTGTGATTATGGTAAAGATCCTAATAAAATGATCATAGAATCAAACAACTGAAGAAAGAAAAAGTACTTTACATCCAAATATTGTTCAAATTGTATAACTATTTACAACAATTGAACTCTTTATTTATCTACAATTGAATTGAGTTGTTAAACTAAGTTTCTATTTGTTAAAGAAAACAAATTTTCTGATCAATGCTCTGTTTTCCCCTGAAATTTTCCCAATTTTGCATCAATCATCCACTGATAAAAGTAAAAATAATATTTTGCACTTAAAGTTTCATTTTTTTTTCAAATAGTAAAAATATTTTCAATTGTTAACTATGAACAATTAATCAATTCACTACCTCCTTTATGTTTGGTAGTCCATAGATGTGTTCATTATTCTTGTTATCGCTCTCATTTTCTGCTGTAGATGGCTCTAATTTCCAATGATAGCACCCAGTTTTGGAGATCACAGCAATGAGAGTATTGAGAGAGATTCAACACCAGAGTACTCAGAAAAACCCCAGATAAGGTGGATATGAAATGTATATTTCCGAATAATTGAAAAAATGGCAACTAAGTAGGAGGAAGAGAAAAGCAATCTTTCTATATGAAGAAGAAACCGTTGCCTCATCAGCTACAAGCATGAAGATAACTAGGGAAGAAACAAGTGCAGTTATCCCAAAAGACATTGGCGACTCAGAGTCCGTGTGTTCAGGAGGCTGAATATATTGGATCCCTGCAGAATGCTTTCAAATAAGTAATTTTGTAGTCGTTTGGAGAACTTGAAACAATGACACATCTTTCTTCACAAGGTAATGAGTTATCGACTTGTAACGTGAAATTAAACCTGTTCATTCCAGCAATCTAAATTCTTCAGCCTGGAATGAATCTGCATACTGGAAAATTGTACCATACCAAGTGGTATCGATCAATATCAAGATGACTATGCATATCAAGAGATGACTATGCATATCAATCGACTTGGCGCACCATGCATATTAGGAGATGACTATGCATATTGATCGATGTGGTGCTGATGAGACCCACTCCTAATGTTGGTCTATTGTAAGAGACTTAAAGGTATGAAGTAAGGGATTTTGGTGCAGTAGCCAAGAAGGTTCTTTGTGTGTGAGGTGTTAAGGATGGTTTAGGGAGGGATAGATGACATTAAAGGAGTGGATGATTGAAGAATTTTGTTATGAGGAATAGAATAAAAGGGGAGACAGTGGGATATGGAGGATTCAAAAATAAAAATGTGGAGAGTGGGAGGTTGCTGGCCCTCAAAGTCTAGAACCATGTGGGAGGAGTTGGCCCTCAAAAACCAACATTATTTTTTATTTCTTGTTTTGGTTTATGGTTTATTTGATTTCCTGTTTTGGCTAGTTTTGTTAAGTTCCTTGTTGCTATGTATTTTGTGTTGCTGGAATATCAATATATGAGCTAGTGTTTTTGGATTTTGGCTACTGATTCTTGTTGCTTTCTGGGTTTAATTCGATTGCTTGTTTGTTATCTCTGTTGTGGTTGGTTGGCTTGGGAGTGATACACATCAATTGGTATCAGAGCAGGTTATCTGGGTAATGGTTGGGATGAGAATGGAGTCAAGATTGGAAAACATGGAAAAAGAGGTGACGAAATTAGGAGTTGACATGGAAACCGTTCGTGGGTGTATGGTTGAAATACAAACGTGGATGAGAAGAAAGGATGAAGAAGACATGGGAACGAGAGAAAGAGAAAGTTCACCCGAAAACGCCAAGGTCATCGGAAAATGGTCAAGGTCAAAATATGGGTCATCGGACTGAAGGAGAGACTTCAACAGTGGCAGACAGATTCGAAACGAGCTGGGTGGCCAGAAACTCGAGTTACCCATCTTCTCGATGAAGATCCTTATGGGTGGATATTTAGAGCAAAAAGGTTTTTTGCTATTAACAAATTTCATCACCAAGAGAAGCTCACGACAGCAGTGTGCATGACGACAATGCCGTCAATTGGTATCAGTGGATGGAGGCCAGAGCTCCGATAACATCTTGGTCAGCCTTCAAGTTGGCACTCCTTCATCATTTCATGTGGTCACAGAAAGGAAGCCTGTATGAAGCTCTCATGGGAATCAAGCAGCTGGGCACAGTGGAAGATTACCAGCGAAAATTTGAAGCTATCTTAGCACCGTTGACGAAAGAGAAGGAGGAGATCATGGTACTGCGTTTTTAATGGTTTAAGAGCAGAAATTAGGGTTGAAATCGGTTGACCCACTTCACACTAATACATGTTGTGGAATTAGCCCAAAGGATAAAGGAAAGGAATTGGCCCTTCGAGAAATTGAAAATTGGGCTGGGTCAACATGGAATAGTAAATAAATTGAGTGTGGGCTTGAGCAATTTGAATGGACCTGGAAGTGGACTCGGGTCAGCTATGTATGGGTCAGGGCAGGTAATTGGTCATGGGAAATTGGATATAGGGCACAACAACACAGTCGCTCATTCGACAACCCCGGAATATCCCTTTGTCAATCAACAGCGACACTCTATCAACCCCTCGCCAGAGCGCCAACCAGAGGAGGAGAGGCAATCGAGCTCGGCGCCTGCTACTCGCACTGAAGCAAAGCACAACAGGCAAAAATCAGCAAATTTTAACCCTCTTTATTGGCAGATTTACCTTTCATGACATGACTAAGAGCGAAATTCAATGAAGAAAGAACGAGGCATGTGTTTCAGATGTGATGCTAGATTTGTTCCAGGGCATAGATGGGGGCAAACATTCCAAGTGATATTGGTTGATAGAAATTAAGGAAGAGGAGGGCGATAAAAGAGTGGAGGAGCGAGGTGATGTTGGGTAAACAATTGTCATCTTGACTTTTTTCCCACCTTGAAGACAAGGTGGTACTGCTCGGGGGGTATTGATGAGACCCACTCCTAATGCTGGTATATTGTAAGAGACTTAAGGGTGTGAAGTAAGGGATTTTGGTGCAGTAGCTAGGAAGGTTCTTTGTGTGTGAGGTGTAAAAACGGTTTAGGAGGGACAGATGCCATTAAAGAGTGGATATTGAAGAATTTTTATGAGGAATAGAATAAAAGGGGAGACGGTGGAACATAGAGGATTCAAAAAAAAAAAAAAAAAAAAACAAGAAAAAGTGGAGAGTGAGAGGTTGCTAGCCCTCGAAGTCCACACTATGTGGGAGGAGTTGGCCCTCGAAGACCAACATTGTTTTTTTTTTAGTTTATGGTTTATTTGATTTCCTATTTTGGTTAGTTTTGTTAAGTTTCTTGTTGCTGTTTATTTATTTTGCTAGAATATCAATATAAGCTAGTTCTGGATTTTGGCTACTGTTCTTGTTGCTTACTGGGTTTAATTCGTTGTTTGCTTGCTATCTCTGTTGTTGTTGGTTGCTTGGAGTGGTACCCCAGGTGCACATATACGTATATGCATATAATGCATGTATGCTTCTATATGTATGATACAAAAGGGACCAAATCATGCACAATGAGAAAGAGATTCTACTAAAACTAAAACTAAGAGTAACTATATATCAAAGTTTCCAATGTACACAGGCAAACAAAGTTTGTATTCTTTTACTTCTCGTTTTAACTATCATGTTCTTTACCATTTTCAGTGTGTTTCTGTGGTTTTTTCTTAAAGAAGCTGGCCAACCTTAACATATTTTTTCACTAAGACCAATGTTTCCGTGTGAGATCATGAGGGTCAAAGAAATAAGAGCTAAGGCTCTTGGAATCCCTTCCTAAAAGCATCCTGCACATAAAGGTCAATCAAAATCTAGTTCACAAAATAGAATTCCCTCGCTAATAAACTACTATCAATTTTTTTCCCAAAAAAATGCTTAGGAGCATAAAAATATAATGTAAAGTAAGACCCCAATATCTTGGCTAAAAAGAAAATGAGTATAGCAACAATATAGCCATTGGCTATAGATCTCTTCAACAGAAAAAGCCTAAGTTTGAATGCAGCTGTGATTTTAAGGCACCATGTAAAGTTTGACACTACAGTTTCAGATTGACAGTGACCATATAAAGCAGAGTTAACTTCATTCAGCAAATCCTTTTCCCTTTACCCTTTCTGAATTTGATCTATAATTGCCACAATTCAGTATTAACCTCACAATGTGTTTCAAATAACTAATTCAAAATTTCAAATAACTGAAGCCACCAAATAATTTATGGATTTCCTGTCTTGCTTCCCCACTCTTGAAATATTATTATATCCATATACAAACAGTTTTCGGAGCAAAAATGGAACTACATAACTGAAGTTTACAGCATTCATGTTAAGAAAATGCAAGTGTATCTCCATCTTTCCAACTCAGGGTTTCTTCTTCCATTCAAGATTCTAGGTGAATAAATAGCATAAATCATTTGCTCACAACATAATGAATTCCCTTATACCATCCGAACTTATTTGTACAGTCACTCTCTTGCTAATGGAATGATGTGCCCTACAACTAATATTCATACCAACTGTACTATGACCAAGAAGATTTCAACTCTATAGATTGCGTCACTTCCATCTTTGCCCACACACCATGAATAAAACTTAATCCTCGATAATCTCCGCTAAAGTTTCATAAAATTTATCAAACCTCAAAAAAAAAAAAAAAAAAAACCCTAAATTTATCCCAAATCCCTTTACATCCATAAAAAAAATTAATTTTTTTCGCCATCAAAAAACAAAACTTTATCATAAAACTAAAATTACAAAATCCAAGAGCTCAAGAATCAGTAATTTACCTGGAAGCAGAAACGTCATAGATCTGCCCCTAATCGCCATCAAAAGAGGCTTACATGGGTCAGAGTTCAGACCCATTATAAGCTCTCAAATCATCCTCAGTGACATCACCCAACTGAATCAATTCGGCTAGAGCCACCACAGCCGGAGGTGACACGTTAGCGGGGCAGCGGTGGTGGTGCGGTGTCTTCTTGTCATTCAAACAACATAATAGCACAAACAATTATTTTTTATAAAACAAAAGGAGACATTCACCTAATATTTTCCTATTTTTTTATTTTATAAGTTCTTTTTTATATTTTATTATGGGACAAAATAGAAATATTCTTTTTATTTTTTTTTTTTTTATTGAAACATCAACTCAAATTACCATGAAACTTTTATAATGTTAACAATTGATTCATGCCAAATAACTTATATCTACTGAAAAATCCTTTTAGTTAGAAAGTTATTGAATTAGTCACCATAATTCATACCATTTAAATTGTTACTAACTGTTGCCTTCTTTTCTCCTGCAAACAAATCAGATTTTTAGATAATTTATGTATCTGAGCAACTGAAGATAATTTAAGAAGACAGTATGTATTATGTAAGAAATCATTTTCAGAGATTAAACACATTTCAAGTTTTGAATGGCAATTCACATTTAAATAGTCTAAAAAGATTTTTTTCTTAATTTTTTTTTTTTTTTTTCAACCGTTAACTATGACCAATTAATCAATAATCAATTCACATACCTCTTCTATGAACAATTGGTGCACTATGGATTAAGGTTACCCATCCATCGTTTTTCATTACATAATTATCACAACTCATTGAGCTTTGGTGTAAGTTGTTCTCCATACCAAAGATCTTCATATTTGGACATCCACAAATCCAAAGAGACTCCAAAGCTGGGAATTCAATAAATATGAGCCTGAGCTAAACAAGCAATGTTATCCAACTCTAAGGAACATGGAGACAACTAGGAAACACAATCCTCTGTACTGTTGCTGCTGCTCCTCATTTGTGATTATTTCATGTAGTGTTGACATCCATCTACTTCAAGTCTTCTAAGCTTCACCAGGCTTGTGACTATGACGGGGTGAAGAGGTTTTTCAATTTAGAGCATCCCATATTTCTATAAAAGTCAAGTTTCCCAGACTGGGGAGGTTTTGGTGCGATCTTTCCTCCGTGTATTATAGCTTTTTCCCCGTATACCCTTCTTCTTTCATCCCGAAATCTCCTCTAAATTGTCACAAGATATATCTCTATTCTTCCAACAAATAAGACTTTGCAATAAAGCTGGAGAAAATAATTAATTAAGTTTGGGCATCTCCACAAACTTATTCTCTTCAATTGCAAAGCTTTATGTATGAGTGTCACCCTTCCATATATGCGTCATCTCCGGCAGAACTGTCAATTCCAATCCTTTAATGATGAGAGCAACTTTGTTTCTCCATTTGCAACCTTAAGCTCTTCACAATCGAATATATATACCCTGATTCACATTCAATATTTCAAAAGATTCTAGATTTTGAAACCTCTGTAACAATAACTTGGAACAGTTTGACAACCGTTTGCACTTACCCACTGTTAAAGATTTGAGCTTCTCGAAGGACTGGATGTGGGTTCACCATGACATATTTCAACCAAGTTGGGATGGTCTCGATTAGTAGTTCCTCTAAGTTTTGGATTTTAAGTTAGATTCCGTTTCCAAGGCATTTAGGAATATTTTACCTTTTGATCAGTCACAGTTAGAACTTTCAACTTATTGACCTCTATCTACAAGATCTAGAAAGATGTTTGTAAACCACTGATTATAGGCACTCTGTTCTTCCAATTATCAAATTCTTAAGGCAATCAAGCAATCGTGAAATCATAACCTCACCAACTGAGATCATAATTTTCCTTGGTATTTATCGTAATCTCCAAAAGTCCTCCACATCCAAACTTTTGGAGCACCTATATTATTGTAAAATTCGATAACTTTTGAACACATGTCATTATCAAGCAAGATCCTGGTTTGGGATAAAAATTTGCAAGCTAGTTATTCTAGACAAGTATTGTAACTCGGCAAGCTTGGCATTGTTTCTCCAATCCCCCTCATCCCTTCAAATCCCAAAGCTCAAAACTTTTCAAAATATATAGCTCCTCTAACTTACGAAGAGCGATATAACACCATGTGCTATTCGCGTTAGCCCTTTACAGTAGTTCAAATCTAATAGCCTCAGATGAATTAATTGCTAAAAGAGATAGGTATCTCCCTAATTAGAATCACAAAGACTAAGAATTTCTAGATTTCTTATATGCCAATGATAATAAGTCACCCAACTTGCAATGATTAAGATACAACGTTCTAAGATTTGCAAGCAAGAAAGTGACTCGGCAGTGGCAATAGTTGAGTTTCACTCAAGTCTAGAACTTTAAGATCTTTCATGCTCTTGAAAGAAATTATTAGGGAGAACCATTTAGGATTCTCTTGCAATAGTAAAGACTGCAACTTTGGAATTCCATTCCATCCCATACCGCTTTAATATTATTTGACATCAATGAGATACATTGAGACTTTCAACTGCATCTCTTTCTGGCCACTCTTCCAAACCAATGCCAGCTTTCACCAAAATATTGGTTGTACTTAGGTGCTTTATATTTGCAACATCACGTACAACATCATGCATTTTAACATACTCTCACCATCACACTTATCTTTTCCATGAATCAAGAGAAAAGAAGAGTAAGGGTACTTACAATAGCTGCTCTGTGTCTAACGTCCTCCATTGTTCAACATTTTGAACCACCTTAAACCAGCTCCATACTCACTAAAACTTCAATTGGGATTTTGAATCCTCTGGAATAAGCTACAAATAAGAATAATGATTTCGAATCTTCACTCTCTAGATATTTGATGCTCAACTCCAGAGATGGATACACACTTCCTTGCAACCCTGGGATGTCTGTTGGGGTAAACGTTTTGAGTTGTCGTGCCACATCAGTCCAGACATGCTTTTTTTGTTCTTCAATGCTCTCCTATGGTAATTATTGCAATTGGCAAACCACCACATTCAGCAGCTATCTCTCTGCCAATTGGGTTTAGATCACTGTTGTCACACCATGCTCCAGCTTTCTCCCTAACAGCACCCAAGATTCTTCTTTTGTTAACGTTGCAACCATAAATATCTTTGAGCATCCATTTCGTCACATACTCTCTCTTCGAGAGGTGAGCACAATCTTGCAACCTCTATGGTCATTTCCAAAAGGTTCCAATCTTATCCAGCTCAATTCTTCCCCAACATCGTCTAATATTACAAGGATCCTTTCTTCCTTCTTGATCTTTCCCAAGGAAACTTGCTCTTGCTACTCGCTATAGTCTGACAAATTTTTCAAACCCAGCATGTCTGCAATTCCCCCTTGAATCTTCATCTAATTTACGGTTTGAGACACAACTGTCATCACTACAACATCAAATAGCTTATCTTTTTTTGCTTGTTTGCCGATTTCTGTCACTAATGTGGTCTTACCCACACCACCCATCCCACACACTCCAATGATAGTGACATTGTCATCCCCCAAGGCCTCCAAGATTTGCTTCATAAGTGATTTTCTGGATTCAAAAGTTCCAGAAAATACCTCAGACGAAGAAATAATTCCTGGAGGAGGAGCAGGACGAGATACCTTCTCAAATTTCCCATCTTCTTGGAGCTGAGAAATCAGAAGATTCTTCTCCTTCGCCTCCCTACTGAATCTGAAACGCGATCTGGGATTAATACACCACCCGTTGAGACACCTCTTGTTTGCATTAACTTCATCTTCCAAAAACTTTGCAGCTTCTTGAGAGATTTTATCAACTTCTGCCATCCAGTTCTGCACATCAGTTTCAATAATTTCAAGATTCCTTTCAGCAGCTTCAATTTGTCCTTGTACCCTGTCTCTGATACGTGCAAGTTTCTTAGCTTGTTTTTCAAACGTTCCAATGTTGTTGTTGTAGTGAAACAAGTAACCGAGCTGACGGCCAGCTGCATCGAACAGGCAGTTAGAAATTTTCTCAGCAATTGAAGAAAAAATTTCCATGTTCTTAAATTTGTGCGTTTCTCACTGGTGAGAGATTGAGAATAAATGGGTCAAGGGGCCGGTTCCCCGTCTTCCCGGTCCGCCCGGTGATCCAACAATTATGAAAGGTAACAGAAATACCCCTGAGAAATTATCATCAATCCCTGCAGGTTTAAAATCCAGCAAACCAAACCCTGCGATCTGGGCAGGAAACCCTGCTGCAAACGAAAGACGGTACCTTGATTTCAAGTCTGAGCGGCAGTTAACATACAACAAAACCAAACAAAAAATCAGTACTAAATCAACTAATTCATGCTACTAAACTTCTAATTCAATAGCTCATAAAAGAAGAAGAAAAATGTCAAGCCTAAAACCAGTTGCCATATTCCTAAATTGTCTCTCACTTTCCAGTTTCCACCATTTTCTCGGCAGCCAAATAGAGGCACAAACCAACAGATCCAATTAAACACCAGATCTCAACTCAATTCAAACCCCCAACCCCCCAATTCAATTGCCAACTAACGGTTACAAAATCCAAAACACCACCCAATTACTTAAAAAGCGGGCAAAATTCATCCAATTACTTATCAAGATTGAAGATGCAATTTGGAGATGGAATTTAAAGGATGCAGGGAGAGTACTCACCGAAGAAAGAAGCTCGATTGAAGAATGAAGATGCAATATTGAGAATAGTTTTATTTCTTTTTTCTTTTTTCATTTTTTAGGGATTAGATTTTCAAATAATAAGTGAACCGTCATTTGTTTAGGGATAGTAGTCTGGTTTCTCATTGAAGTTGAGTGCACTGCTCAGTTAGGTTTATAATATAATAAACTTAATGCGGGGAGGCCAAGCCGGATCTTAAAATTTAAACCTGTTAGATTACCCTTCATTTTGATTTAATAAGTGAACTCAATTATGTTTAAACATAATTGCAGCCAATTTAACATCAAAACTTCATCATTACAAATTATCGTGTGAATAAATAAAAATATATATACATATACATATATATGAAAATTGTTTAATACGGACATCATAAAATTTTTAATTTTTAATGTATTGTTCAAAGATGAATGTTTAATCACCTATGTTTTATATTTATAAAGTGAGTAACCAAACTTTTTTTTTTTTTTTATATATGTTAGTTACAAATTTTATGATTTTTGTCCTGGAGACTATATATATGAAAATTCTCCAATATGAATGTCTTGAAATTTTTTACATACGAGCTAAAGATGAGCATCTAGACATCAACGAAGCGCCGGCGCGACTGCACGTATAAAAAAAAAAAAATATATATATATATAGTTGTACACAAGATGGATAAAAATTTTGGATTAAGCTTAATTTGAAGGTAAAAAAATTACAAAAGTGTATTATGGTTTATCTAGTTTCAAACAAATAAAAAAAAATTAATGTATGAATCTGAGTCTTTCCCACAATTGCATCTCCTCACGGCTCTGTCTTTGTCTGAATCAACTAGTATAATATTTAAAGAACCACCAAACCTTGAGCAAAGGAAATAATACAATATTAAGAAGTTGAAAAAAAAAAAGCAATAACACAATATTTTTTTACTTTAGTAAATATGTGAGAAGCAAAACATGAGAAATGTTAAAAATAACATCCAATTCATAAGGAAACACAAAAAAAAAATTTACGTAAAAAGAGCAAAAAAAACTTAAACCCTAAATCTTAATAAATTGCTTTTAATTCAAATTCTTCTCTTACAATTGATTTATTGATGCTTTATTAAAAAATTTGATGAAATTGGAAGGGAAGAAAGAAGAGTCGACTAGAAAAATGAGTTGAGTTATATGGACTTTTAAAGTAACGTTTTATATGAAGTTCTTAAAAAATTAAATAGTAAACAATTATGTTTGTTCTTAATGCTAGATTATCATGGTCAAAGTTCAATGAATAATTATAATTTAATTTTTTTTAATTATGTCATGCTATTGTAATAATTAGAGGATAGATTTATAAAAAGACTATAACATGAAATTATTAAAACACAATAATTATTAAGTAGATTATTAGTGTATAATTATATAAATCATTAATTTCTATTTCAATTTGAATTAAAAATGGGTGTAAGTTACAACATGAAATCTTTTATTAATAGAGAGAAAACAAGGTTTATAAATAATAATTAGGTAAGAGATGAAAGACAAAAAGGTTGCACAATGAATCGACAGTGAGGTGAGGTCATATAATTAAAAATCATAGTTATGAGTGATTTGTGTGACATGTTATATATGACTAAATTAGGGAAAAGGGGAAAGGAAAGGAAAAAAGTCAAATTAATAAAGACAAGTAAATCTTAAAAGATAAGAAAATATTCTAGGGAAGATTTTTCTATGGAATTTTTTTTTTTTTTTTTTTTCTCCATGGACTAAATTATGCATAAAAGAATAATCTTAATGGCTTAATTTGAAGAAATTAAATAGTGAATGATATAATCAATAAATTTCAAGTTTGTATGATAAGGAAAGAAACGATAAAAACAGAAAAGAAATTGTTGACAGTGGCCTTTTCATCTACAATAAGTCAACATAACCCAACAAGTGAGTGGGCTTCACGTTCATTATTATGGTAGGCCATGATAATCATTGGGCTTAGCTTAAAAAACCACAAAAAACGGTGCGTTGCATGCTTTGCCATCACAAAAGGGCTTCTTCTTCGTTGCAAAATCTTAAAAGAGATGAAAAAGTTGAAGATGCAATTACAACTATTAAATATTAACAACACTAAACTACCATCAATACTGGATCATATAATTTCCAGAAAATCCCACAGCCGGAGAGATAATTCCCCGAGGAGGAGGAGCAGGCTCAGACAGATTTGGAATTATCCATCTTCTTGGACCTGAGTGATCACCGTTATCTTCTGCTTTGCCGCCTTGCTGAACCGGTAACGCGATCTGAGATCAATGCAGCACCCTTTAAAGCACCTTGTTCGCTTGACTTCATTTCCAAACACTTTTCAGCTTCTGCAGAGACATTATCAACTTCTGCTATCCCATTTTGGAAATCAATTTCAGTTGTATGGTGCCTCTGGTAGCCTCGAGTCTTTGAGCTTCCATCTTAATGCGTCAAGCAACCAACCAATTTGACGGCCTGCTACATCAAACAGGTGGTTGGAAAAGTTCCCGCAATTGAACGGAGAACATTTTCATACCTGCATGTTATGAAGAATTGCTCAGTGTAGCGTAACTTTGTATAAACTTGGTGAAGAAAACAGAGGAAAGCAGAGGATGATCTTGTGCTTTCTGCTTCCAACCATTCCAATAAAGCTTATGTTAAACAATAACTCTAGATCTAGAATACCAGCAAAACCACAGAAGTTTATATTATATTTACACATAATCAAACAATAAAAGAAAAAAACAAAATAAGTAAATTTAAGTTTCCATGAAAAATGATTGGGTTACATACCAGCTGTTTCCGCTTGAGCTTGTTGGCTTAATGAATAATAATTATGAGCCAAACGATCACCAACCATATCTGCTTCCAATATTTTAAGTACCTAACAATAACATTTAACAAAACTCATTGGAAATAAAAACGGGAAATTTATGAATAAAAATATTTTATATCATATTCAGAGACAACCAAATAATTGAAAAGGAAAGGAAACAGAGTAAAAGCATTTAAGTTTCCATGAAAATGTGGTTAGGTTTAGGTAGGGCTGTTCAATGAGGCGAGCCGCCCGCGAGCCAGCGGCTCGATCGTGTAACGGTTCGGCTCGATTGTGAGAGAGTTGAGCCAAGCTCTAGCCGGTCTCGAATTGTTAGGGGTGTTTTAGGGGTTTTATTAAGTATATGGGATTAAACTGAAATTTTTAAAACAAAAAGTTTGCAAAAATAACGAAGAACACCCCAATGTTAAAATCCATAAAACGCAACTGAATCCTTACCCTAAAACCAAACCAAACCAAACCATTTTAGGGAAGTTGTTGGCGTCAGATTTGGTGGAGAGTGTAGGGAAACAAGGAGAAAGAAGGAAAGAAATCAGAGTTGGTGGAGAGTGCAAGGGAAACAAGGAGAAAGAACGAAAAGAAAAATAGGAAAAAAGGAGAAAGAAGGAAAGAAAGAGAAAATAGGAAAAAACAGGTGTCATTAGAAGGAGAGAGAAAGAAGAAACAAATCATAAGAAAAGAGGAAGTGATAGAGAAATAGTAATAAATGAGAGGGAGAAAAGAAAGACTAATAAATGAGAGAGAGAAAATCTACACTGAAATTTAAAAAAAATTTGCATGCTTTATTGGCTCGCGAGCTGACTCTAACTCAGTTGGTAAGCTGGCTCGCGAGCCAGGTTCGAAATCTTTTTTCTCTTTATGAGTCGAGTTGAGTCAGGAATTAAAGACTTAGACGGCTTAATTCTTTTCCTTTTCACGAAATGAGCTCATTAAGTCAAAAACTCAGCTCGGCTGGTTAACAACCCTAGGTTTAGGGGTAAAAATAGCCAAGCCGCTTGCAAGTTACTCGATGTTAGATCGAACTCGACTCGATAGTTTGTGAGTATTTCCAAGCTCGATGGTTAAGTTGATAGTTTTTAAAGTACTAAGGGTCATATGTAATTTAAAAGTTATAAAATTTGCAAATCCACCCATGTTAGATGAGCTCGAAATCGAGTCTGTCGATTATACGAACTCAAATTCAAATGTGTAAAAGGAGAAGAAGTATATAAACATGAATACAAATGGTGTTTCCTAATATTCTATTAATATCTAATGTATCACAAATTAAATAGGCCTAGAGCTATCTATAGCCGCAAGACTCAGGTAATTTTCGTACCCAAATGCGCCCATGACATGTGCCTTCTCTGCTCCCTGGCCATCAGCTTGCCACCTTGCCAGATCGAAATCTCCGCCTGTTCATGATTAATGTTACAACGAAAATGATAGAGCCACCGAAGGTTGCACACCAAATTTGTGCACAGATGACGGGCAAAATCCAGACCGTTGATTAATATTAATTGATATGAATCAACGGTCAGAATTTTGCATGTCATTCGGTGCACGGATTCGGTGCGCAACCTTCGGTGGCTGTAGCATTACTCATGTTACAAATAGAATCTTAAACAATCCAACGTCCTAGGATTCAAGTTATTTAGGGGGACTTAAAGTAAATTTTATGTTCCCAAATCATGTTTTTAAAACATAAAGGAATGGATTTTATATAGTTTTTGGACTTGTAAGAGGAGAACAATTTTCAAAAGCATTTTAAATGACTGTCTTTGAATGAATTTTTTATAGCAAATAAAACTATCAAAATACATCCTTCTAAAGAAATATATAAACAAGTAGACGAGTAAAGAAACTGACCTACTTCATTACAACTTGTTTTCCTGTATTTTTTGAAACATCAAATCGGTACGCATGTACATCATACTTCTTGTTATGGGTCTATTCAATCAGTAATGTTATGTTACAACTTAATTTCACAACCTTGACGTGGTATCTTGTCATTGGTCAACTCATAAATGTGCAGGAGGACTTGTACAAGCAAGCGGGACCTATTTTGAAAGCTGATTGATGACGATTGGATTTTGGAACAAGCATTATGCACTCTAAATACCTAACTAAGAAGGTCACTTACATTCAACAATAAAGTATCAAGAAATGATTGAACTGACTTGTGCACACAATAGAGTTGTATAATTTGAAAAGTTTCAACCAAATGTGTTTATTCCCAAGGAAGTGAAGTCGTATTCACTTTCTGAAAATATTATGCTCGAGGTCGTTCTTGAAGGGTCATGCTTAGCCAAATATGAGAACATGGTTTTCTTTGAAAGTGTTGTCAAACTTAATTCAACTATGGCTTTCTCAACGGAGTCGTGGGTTTGTCTCAAGAAGAACTATTCCTTTGCCTTCAAGTTTTAGGCATTTAGAGATTTGAAATACTATGTACACTAAACAATTTGTACTAACCAAGTATTAACATTGAAAATTTGAAATTTTTTTAGGGAAATTTCAAATTTTCAATGTAATACTTGAATTAGTAAAATTGGTTAGTGCACATAGCATTACTCTAGAGATTTTGATTTAGGGATGTTAATTTCAAGGGCCTTTTTGGGGGGGTGATTTGTCATAAATAATCAAAAATATTTTAGTCCCATAATTTCTAACATCTATAAATAATCCTGTTATGCGAGCCAATTTAGGCTCGCGTGCCTATCGAGCCGCCGCATGCTGATCAAACTCCGCCGATTAATATAATGAGCCAAGCCATCTCGCGAGAAGCTTGGCTCGGCTGACAGCCCTCACTCAGTAAGGGATGTAAATGTGCATTTTCGAAACTTTTGGGGACCCATTAATAGTAATAAACTTTTTCCCTTTATGTATTTTTTACCTATTTCGGCGTCGTTTCCTTCTTTATTTACGTTTACCTATTTCGGCGTCGTTCTTCTTTATTTCCCTCAAAACGGCGCCAGACTCTTCAGCATCTCCACGCCGCGCCACTCCCTACTGCCACCATTGACAGCGGCTCTTTTTCTGTAAGAACCACTCCCCCTCCTTTCAACTCTTCATCCTCTTATTCTCTTACTCAAAAAAGCACTTTTCACAAGTGTGTTTGGCTGTGAGGAGCGCTTATTTGCAGCAGAAAGCCGCTTCTTCCTCGTTCTTTTCATTATATTTTTGTGTTATATCTTCTTTTAGATATTTACTCATCTAAAGAGACCCTTTGATTAAAAAAGAAATTTTAGTAATTGTTTTAGGAACTTTCTGCAAAAAAAAAAAAAAAATTATTTATTTATTTTACATTTCCTATTAATTTAAGTGTTTTTTTTTTTTTTTTTTGTTTTTTTTTTTTAAATGGTGTGTTTGATAACACGCTATTGGGTTAAAAGCGCTCTTGTGTTGTGTTTTTAAAGTGATTTTTAAAATCAATTTTGCAGCTTTCTCGTGGAAGTACTTCCCAGAAGCTGTTTTCATTAAATTTATCTGTTAAAGTTTTATGTATTGTTTTAGAAAAGCACTTATTCAACCAAACACTTTGATAAAGTAGTAATTTTTTGCTAATTTTTTAAAAGTTTTTATGCGAATATGGTTCTGATATTAGCCGAAAGTTTAAGCTTTTTTATAGTGTGTTGATTTTGTGGTAACACGATTTAAGTTAAAAGCTGTTTTGTGGGGGTGTTATTTAAGTGATTTTTGAAATCAATTTTACAGATTATGCGCCTATTCAGCCTTTTGAAACTGTTTTTGGTGGTTTAAGCACTTCACGCAAGCTGTTATGATTAAATTTCTGTGTTCTGTTTGTTAAAAAATTGGAACTTTCAATTCAGATATTCTGTTAAAACTTCAAGTTAATTTTGTTATAGTGTGTTTGATAAGGCTTTGAAGTCAAAAGTGCTTTTGGGGTTATCTTGTACTGTTTTACTGAAGTGATTTCTGAAATCGATTTTGCAGCTTTTTTGCCTATCCAGCTTCTGTTCGGATATTTCAGGCTTCCATGGCCAATAGTGTTGCAGCAGGTACTGAGATTTCACGTGGCTTTGCAGCGTTTAATAGTAACTCTCACAACAAACCAAACCCCACCAAAACCCTGTTACAGAAATGTCAAATTAATGGCTTTTCTAGTAGGTTTCCTCTGTTATCTGTGTCTTCCAACGAAGTGCAGCCCAGAAGAGTTGAAAACAGGGGCTGTATGTTTGCAGTTTCAAAAGGTGATTCCGGTGAAAGCTCAGGTGGGTTAACATATAAGGATGCTGGTGTAGATATTGATGCTGGGTCAGAACTTGTCAAGAGAATTGCGAAGATGGCTCCTGGGATTGGAGGCTTTGGTGGTCTTTTCCCTCTTGGTATGATTTACTTGATATGCTTACTTTGGCTTTAATTGTTTAATTTATTGTTTAATGAGCATTACTTTGGCTTTATGTTATAACTTGAGTCTCATTGGTAGGCTTATACATTGAGTTAGAATTAATATGCAATTGCAAGAAGATAGAGTGAAGTAGTGGTTTGACTATTGCTGAGGGATGGTAGATCATCCTCTTGTTTCTATTTCGTAATAAACAACTATGCAGTTTTATTGTTGGAGAGGAACATTCTTTACCTTATTTGGGAAATATAAGTTTAATTCGATGTGCTGTTTGTCAAGTGGAAGAAATTTCATTCTAGGATTGAACATCTGCATTCATTTTAGAAAGTTATGATCCCAAAGATTTATAACTATGCTGCTTCTCTTAGTATTCATCTCTAATTTGAGTTTATATGTCAAATGAGGAGCTTGGATTGCTCAGATTCAACTTTTGTCAAAATCAAAAACATTATTTGAGTGATTGTGAGAGGGCTTAAATTCATGCTTTCAAAGGCCATTAAAATGTTTGCTCTTAATTTGCTCTGTGAGTATCTTTAACAGTTCGATTGAGTAAAGGTGTTCTTCTGGGTTTATTTGGTCAAGTTTAAATTATTAGGTAGGAGCTTGTACTTCGGTTGCTCCTTTCTTTACCCTAGAAAACTCTCTAATCTCAAGTGCCCTGTAGAGGATTCCCTTTAATAAACGAACATTCAAGTTTTTTTAAGCTATGCAACACTTCTTTTGTACCTTCCTATGTTAGTATTCCGAGCACGGAATCAGTTAGGTAAATGATTCTAGTCGCTTTGGCCAGAGAGATCCCTTTTAGGTCTATGCCATGGGACAAGAAGAATATAGGACAATATTTTTCAAGTTTCTTCATGTGGCTGGAGCTCTTTACAGAAGTATTGAATTGATTTTAGCATCAACATCTGGTTGTTTAGGTTCTATGGTTTACTGATCAACTCCTTGTGAGCAGGGGATTCTTTCCTTGTTGCTGGCACTGATGGTGTGGGAACTAAACTTAAGCTGGCATTTGAAACTGGAATACACAACACTATTGGGATTGATCTGGTAAAAGTTTTCAATGAAACTTGTTTTGTGGATTTTCAAAATCCATAGTTATTTCTCTGATGCACTTGATGTACAGGTTGCGATGAGCGTCAATGACATTGTTACATCTGGAGCAAAGCCATTATTTTTCCTGGATTACTTTGCTACAAGCCACCTAGATGTTGACCTTGCTGAAAAGGTACGTGTGGTTGTGCATAATATGTTTGGGGTGAAGACCATCAAATTTTCCCACTTTCGCAAAGTGGTGCTTATTAATTGTATGTTCTTCGTATTCAGGTTATAAAAGGCATAGTTGATGGTTGCCAACAATCTGACTGTGCTCTTTTAGGAGGAGAGGTATGTATTTTTTTTTTTTTTTTTTTTCAATCAGCATGTTGTGTTCATTGAGTACTAATATTTACTCACTGACATGTCATCTGGATGAATGTTTGAACATGTAAGCTTACTGAATAAGATATGCCTTTCAGACTGCAGAGATGCCCGATTTTTACGCAGAGGGAGAGTATGATCTCAGTGGTTTTGCAGTTGGCATTGTTAAAAAGGATTCTGTTATTGACGGGAAAAACATTGTGGCTGGAGACGTGCTCATTGGCCTGCCATCTAGCGGAGTCCATTCAAATGGTTTCTCTCTGGTCAGAAGGTGAGACTTGTTTTAAGAGAATGCTTTGGTATTAAGGCTTCATTGACTATTTAAAAAAAAAAAAAAAAAAAAAAATCTGTTGCAATTGCTTTCTCCAAACCCATTTAGAACTGATGAATACCAAAATCCTTGGGATGTATACTTGTATTTTTGCAGGGTTTTAGCTCAAAGTGGCCTTTCACTAAAGGACCAACTTCCTGGTGAAGCAATCACATTAGGTGAAGCTTTGATGGCCCCAACTGTTATATATGTTAAGCAGGTCTTCTATCAACCTCCGTTTCATACTATTTAGCTTCATATTAGCATGTTGCTTAATGCTAAAACCATTTTGTTTTGGTCAAGAAGGTGTTGGCCATAATTAGCAAGGGAGGGGTGAAAGGAATAGCCCACGTCACTGGTGGTGGTTTTACGGACAATATACCTCGAGTCTTTCCAGAAGGCCTTGGTGCTGTCATCTACGACAACTCTTGGGAAATCCCACCTGTATTTAGATGGATCCAACAGGTGAAAACATTCTTTTAATGGCATGTTACTAGATGCTATTAATAGATTAAATGATTTATTGCATATATTGTATCGTGTATGTGAAATCCAACTATAAGAGCCTTGTTTGAATGATTGCGTATTCGTTATATTTCTCTTTGGTTACACGTCTTACTTTTCATTTTATTTTTAATATTAGGCTGGAAAAATCGAAGATAGTGAGATGAGGCGAACTTTTAACATGGGAATCGGGATGGTTCTAGTTGTGACCCAGGAGGCTTCCCACAAAATACTAGAGGGGGCAAAAGGAGCATATACAGCATACCATATTGGTGAGGTTGTGAACGGTGAAGGAGTTGCCTATCGCTAAAATATGTATAATACATTTCACATGCTACTTTAACTTATTCCTTCCCTTTGTTGTCAAGATGAGGTACACAATCGCGGCTTGATTGTAACATTTACATAATTTGAACCTTCACAGATGCAATAGATTTTGATACTTAAACTGTTTCAGTTGAATGGGAACTGAAAATGCCTTTTCCTGTTAATAATTTTGCTCCAGTTGTAAATCTGAGACAATGTTATAGTATTATTTACTTACCCACCCAGGTAAGGCACATAGTCCCAAGATTTAAACAGATGATCACAGGCCATAGTGGTAGGATATTGTGTTAGTCATCTACAGATATTTACAAAAGGGTTTTTTTTTTTCAAACTCTAAACTCAAACTCTCATGTCTAGTTAGTGAAAACGGAGCCCCAAACTTATGCATTTTATAAATTACGTTACATAACTATTTGTATCTTATACTTGACATACCTGCATGTTTATTGAAGAATTGCTGCAGAGTGGCTTTAACTTGGTGAAGAAAACAGAGGAAAGCAGAGGAATGATCTTGTGCTTCTGCTTCCAACAATTCCAGAAAAAGCTCATGTTAAACAAAATAATTCTATATCTAGAGTACCAACAAAACCACAATTAGTTTTTACATTATATTTAGACACAATCAAACAATTCAAAGTGAAATATTTAATTCTTTTACCAAATGAATTAATCCTAAGCGGAAATGATTGCTATGTTAATTTTAAGAGTTCTTTGAACATAAATATAAAGTAATAAAAATAAATCAAAGTAAAACAACACCAGATTTTTACATGGTTCGGCAAAATGCCTACATCTATGGGACCAAGTCCAGAGTGAAGCTAATCCACTAGGTTTACAGTTTAATTACAAAGTTAGAGATTAAGACTCAGTTGCAAGAACACTCATGTTTTGCAATACTTCAATCTCTACCCTTTCGTTAAACAACGTACAATCATAGCTAGTTACAAAAACACCCAACCACCTGGTCAGCCTTGAGCTCCTCTCAAGGTGCAGAGACAAAGACGCACTTTGGTTGAAGAAGCTCAACAAGCTTCTCACATCAGCTCCGAACAAACTGCAGAGAGCAAGGACTCATTATAAGTACTTGAAGGAAGACATTTTTAAGCTTTACCTACGCATAGAAACTTGTCAAAAATAAAGGAAAAATTTAGAGAATTTTAGTGTACTTTTCAGAGATAATATCAGGCTTAAAAAACAAGTG